TTTCAGAAGTTGTTAAAGTTGAGTTCAGGCTAACAAATCCTAACTATCAAAAAAAAGCCTATGGTGAGATGAGACAGCAGACCATGAAGAGGCATCAGATTTGATCACAGGATTGGTGTCAATCATATGTTACTTTTATTTTTTAAATCTCATTTATATATTAAGAAATAAATGTATTAGGACAGATATGGCCATTAAGTGATCAAGAAGCCACTTATTTTTTTCCATTTTGAAAAATTTTCCTCTAGGGGCTGAGACTTTCAGTATTTAAACTCTGCTAAATGTATATTTACGGAAAAAAAGAAGAGAACAGTGGTTATGCCACTGATAGCTGAACTGAAGTCTGCATTTTTCTCTTAGTATAAATGCAAATAAAAATAGTTGTATCCTGTAATAAATAAAGTAAAATTAGCATTTGAATAGGCTCCAGTAGAAGTTTAGATGCTAAAATTATCAGAGTTCAAATTATTGTAATTAAGATGCAATCATTAATCCCAAATGAGCTATCAAGCAGTGGAGGTTCTTGTTTAACCATATTCTTTCAGGTACACTTTACATGATGGAATGCAATGCAATATGTATAGGAATTTTACTGCACAAGTACCTTACATCCTACTCTATTCCTTTCTGTGAAATGCAAAAACCATAAATGTATCATCAAATTTATAGATTTCAGATAACTACACTAAAAAGCATGGAGAAAATACTTGACTCTTGATGATTTTTGCTCTCTTGCATTGCATACAGCCAAATTAATGATAACTAAGATATTTTTAATAGCTCTATAGTCTGGTCCAATATTTCCAAGGGGTAAAATGTACTTTTTGAAGTCAAGTATTCACCTATCTGGTTATGCAGAAAAATGTTTCCCCGAATGGAAGAGTAAATGCTCCTCAAATATGTGAGCAATTTGCTTCTAATTGTGCAATGTTTAGTAAAGATTCCATCTTATTTTTTCATTATAAAATTTGGGGAAACATATTAGTGAAACCTAACATGTCAGTTTATAAGTCAATGCTAGAAACCAACACATTCTCATGGCTTCAGTGACAACTAAGATAGCTTTCTAACAATCTGTTTCAGAAAGTTTGCCTTGATTTTGGTCTTCAGTTAGTAAAAGTGGTTTCTCCTCATAGGCATGTTTACATTCACAAATCTTGCATCTTGCCTGAATGGGCAAAGGGATTCTTGCTGTGAAAAAGCTGCAATACTCCCCAACTTGGTATCAGGAAATGTACCTCCAACAGATGTCAATATAAGCTTTTCCCCAATGCAACATAAGGCCATAAACTTCCAGAACTAATTTAGGATCACTGTTAACTCCAATGGCTGCCTATTGCCTGTACTTCAGCATGACTCCACCTGACTTCTCAGCCTTGCCTTCACCTCCGCCAACGCATTGCTCTTGTATTGCCTGATTTGCCTTTGGACAAGTTGTTCTCTCTCCTCAAAAATGCCCTTCCCCTCTCCGTCTCTTGTCACACTCCTGTTCAGATGTCCCTATTTAATGGGTTCCCTTCACATTCCCAGAAGAGCTAATTTCAATCCCCCGCTCTATTTTCCTAACAGATACTGCCATGACAGCATGAATGACATAGTAATGTAACACCTCCGAGAGGCAATGTCTTCTAGTGGGTACAGGTGAGGAGTTGGAAGATGGAATTTGAATCCCGGCTTTGTCACTCACTAGCTGTGTGACCTTGGGCGAGTCATCTTAACCTCCATAAACCTCAGTTCCTTCATCTATAAATAAAAATAGTACCTGTATTACTGGCTTGTGGTAAAGAATAAACGTTCCTAGCAGAGTGCCTGTCATCAAACGATGAGTACTTGACATCCTCGCATTACTACGAATGGATGAAGGACGAGCCTAAAGACGCAGATAAGCATATTACACTCTCGTAATTTGAAGAGTTAACTCTCAGAGTAGGATCTGAAAGTGCAGCCATCTTGAAATCACGTGGTGATTTCCATTGAGAAAGCATGTGAGAAACTGTCAAACAGTGGCAAACAAATGGTAAGCTCACACACGCACTCTCAAAAGAGCTGCCGGGGCTGCTTTTAAGATAGCTCATCTGTGGTTGTGACACATGACACATGAAAAGAAATTGGATGCTGCACAAAGCCAGGAATGGAAGGCAACATGGAGCTCTGCCTTCCTCTCTCGGCAGAGAGATTCTGTCTGGTGGTGGAGACTCTCAGCGCTACTTGTTACAAAATGGGGATGTTTAGGTAGTGGAGAACAGCCCAGTGTCAGCCTAGAGGAGCACACTTCAAATTAAGAGCCCACCTTATTTAAAATGTCTTTCCATTATATTTTGTTTGAGATGTGAAATAGGTAATAGGGAAAAAAATTGTTATGGAATTCATCTCCTTCCAGGAAAGAAAATAAAAAACAAATCTCAACTATTGCCAGATGAACACCTTGTCTAAAACAAATGAGGGATTTAATGCACTGCAAAATGCCACTTGGAGGGCTTCCTTGGCTGAGAAAAGCATTCAGATGTTATTTTCTTAAATGAATGTAACTATCCCCATGTGCATCGGTCTCAGACCAGAAAACTCTCTGGGTGCGTTTCCTGACCAACTTGAAGAGAAAATTCAATTTATTATTGCTTGCTTTTAAACAAATCAAAAGCTGACTGAGGGCAACAAATTAATCAAATGATCATTTACATCCCCTGTATTATATGTTTTAAAAGAATGAAGAGAGAAAAAACTGCCTTTGCATTTATAGAAGAGAAATTTAGAAAAACACTTTGAGTGTTTTTTTTTAATGTTCCTTTGTTCAACTGTGCTGGGTTTTAAAAATTCTTATATTGGCTTTTCATCTTGCAGGAAAGCAGGGTAGCAATTTTTCTTAAGGAATTGGCAGTGATGTGCTCAAGTGCTGAGCCCTTTCCTCTGTCGGGAAGAGTCTGGACTGAGGTCGGGGAAGAGGAGCCAGGAGTGACTAGGAGGAGAGGAGGCTGATGGCAGCTTTTTACAGGCTCTGTAAAACAGGAGTGTGGTGGCAGCAACTTATGGGCGTGCCAAAGAAAATGAGTCCACGTGCTAAGCTCTGGCACGTGCATGACAGGTTGCCAAGGCATGGCACAGCCCCCAGGCAGACTTTTGATGCCCTGCCCCAGAAAGTAAGCCTGTTCCCATTTATCCCACAAGGATGGTGAGTGGTTGGATGTTTTGATGTTATAAAAACTCCTGGTACAGAAATTTGCCATTTGGCTTACTTTCATTTAGTCATTTTTCCGATTAGAAACATCTGAAGGGAGAGGGTCAGCAGTTTATTATTCACACCTAGTAAGCCAGGAGAACAGATGCAGGGTGGCGGCCCATTCTAGGGTAAGCAGGCAACACTATCTGATCAAATTTAAGTTCTATGTTAATGAGTGAAATACATAAAATAGGACACCTCTTTGTTTTTCCATATAAAAGAGTTCCTGCAAAGGTCTGGTTAAAAGAACATAATGTATGCTTTATTTTAACCTTTTTCTATTTTATTCTCTCTGCTAAACTAGAAACAATTGCTGGGATTTAGTTCAGCTTAAAAAGTGGGCCACATAATTTCGGAGTAAACTTCTTAAATTCATAATGCACTGTGAAAAATTTCCCCTCTATTTCTTTTTACTGCTCCCACTATCCAAACTCTCAGCATAAGACCCCTGGCCCTACACAATTTATCCAAAGCCTTGGGCAAGTCAGGAGCCCTTTTACCCTTCACTAGTGAATTCAGTGCTATTGTAGGAGGGAGACATTCTTTCTTTCCCTTTTCACTTAAAGAAACATACCAAACCTGAATAGACTCCAGGCTAGACTGGGGGAGGGAGTGATTTTTATTAGTTCTAACATAGCTATTGACACACGCTTGAAGACAATATTTGAAGGAAAGAAAGAAAGAGAGAGAGAGAGAAAGAAAGAAAGGGCTTTCATTTTATGCTTAGAGGGCAGATTGGTTACAATTTAATTTCCAAGAAGAAAATTTTATAGAATAAAATGGCCTAACATTACTTTTTCTTCATCATACATATGAGAAATATAAACTAAAAGGACATCTGGAAACTAACATTATTCAGCAATCAGAAAGCAAAAATCCAAACCATTGATGTTTTGATGGAGACAAACATAACGAGATTCACAAAGAAGAAAGCTGTAACTTATTGAAGTGAAAAAAAAATTCCATATGCATTTTACCTTTTGGGCAGTTCCATAGAAAACTTCTATTTCAGAAGCCCTTTGTAATATGAAACCTACTGTAGATAAGATACAACGTGAAGATAGTCTGTTTTGCAGCAGCAGGAAATCAAATTGGTTCCAGAACCGAAGTTACATGACAAATGGTTTAATAGTATTGCTAGAATTGGAAAGCTTGATTGAATTATTTTTCATAATCATTAAAAAAAAGACTTTGAAATAACTTTGCCATAGGCTCTTTCGAGTTTTTTTTGGGGGGAGGGTATTGCAGAGGTGAGAAGATATCTAATTTTATTGGCCTTTTAACTAAAGTGTTATAATTTATCAAAATTTAAGAGCTCAGTGATGATTTATCGTTAACTTGTTTGCAACCAAAATTTTCAGACAAACACAGTACTTAATTTAACATAACTAATATACGTTATGGAGGATTAAACAGGTTAAAAATATAGGTATAGTTTACTATCATATTCAAGTTATTTTTAGTTTTAATCTTAGTACCAATCAGCCTTGCTTTATTTAAGAAAGCATCTGGAAAAGTTCATTAAGTCTTAGGCGAGTCTTAGATTTTAAGAAAGACTTTTAAACGGTTAGCAAGATGTATCGCTGACAAAATAACCCAGCAACTAATACCCGTAGGTGAAATGAAATCATTCTCCTGACTGAAGTCAGGAACAAGTTAAATATCACTTAGACTACAGCACACGACTACAGAGATTTAGGAGAAATCATACTTAAATAGGATGTGACTGGATGTTTAGGAGTATTTTCTAAAAAAGTCAAAAAACTTTTTCCCCTTCAGTACTTACAGTCTTTGAAGACTAGAGCCGGGTCTCTGTGAGGCAAGACTTGGGCAATGATGTGTCTCAGGGATTCCAAGGTTCTGTCCATCTTGGGTCTGCCTGTGCGTGCCTGCTGCACAGTGTGTCCTCATGCCTGAATTCTTGCAGTCCTGGACTGAATTTGTGCAGCTCATTGATGCACAGGATTACCAAAGAATCCCTTTTAACATCTGCCAATCAGACATTTCCCAGAATCTAAAGACCCCTCAGGGGGCCCTCCTCCCAGGCTCACTTATCTTTGTTGTATGCTGAGCTAATTAGCTCTAAAGGCTGGCTGACAGGCGGTTCCCACTGCTTCCTTCTGTTAAACACACCCACCTACAGGCTAGCTGGGGAAGCTCGCTAATCATGGGAACAGCTTTCCTCTCCAACCCGATTCTGCCAGAATGGTGTGCAGCTTTCTGACCTGGATATTTCTTTTGGTCTCCCATCTTCAAACGTGCTGTCCTCAGGTATATAAAATCAAGATGGTTATTTCTCAAGGAAATTTCCTTAGCGACAAAGGAGTTTCTAGCTCAGGACTTCAAACTCAGAATCAGTGTAATCTAAATTCTTCTTTGGTAAAGGAGTTCTATAAAGATTGTGGATGTAGCCAGGCACCAGATTACGTCTTCTATTTAGATTCAGGAGCATCTTTTTGGGAGCCAAGTTTGAAACCCCACCTCCCCAACCCCAATTATAGTCACTTTTGATGGGGACTGGCAAATAAAACTTCGTAGACTGTTGCCTGGGAACATTTGTTTCCTGATTTATCTTTCAAGGCAAATCATTCCCCAGATTGACTTTAATGAATTCCGATATCATTCACTTCCTTTCATTTCATGATAATTCTTTCTATTAAAAATTTCAGGAGAAGCAAAAATATATTTTTCAAAAGAATATAGGTAGTTATTAAAAAGATCTTAAGAAAACAGAGACTCTTGTTCTACCTATATCCTGTACCACTCACAGCAGTGTTAAACAGTCTTTCCACAGGAGACATAAAATAAGTCATGGGATTCCACTGCAGTCATAAGGATTTATACCAGATATAAAAGAACTGATTTTAATGGTTGTAATCTATGTTAGTCGTTGAAAGCTTGTTGAGGATTTCTTTACTTTTCTTTAAAATATTTTTCCAGGGTAGGCACAAGAGATTGCTTTCCAATTTTCAGATTCCATAATTATGTTGTATTACATGATTAACTGAAACCAGTCCTTTAAAGACTATATAAAAATGAAATGTTTATCATGTGATCAGCTCCTCCAGCTAGTTGGTAGAAGGGTGGGCTTAATAAAGGGAAACAGATTGGGCCTATAATAATAATTCCTATTACAATGACTATCACTTAGCAAATGCCCACAGGGAGTATGTGCCACACACAACAGAGACATGGGGCTGCCCCAGAACGCAAAGATATTATCATAAGAAAGAACTTGAAAGAAGTAGCACTTCATGTTAAGACACTTATTTAGAGTCCCAAAGTGTACTTTACACCAGCTGTACCAAACAGGAAATCGTCAATGTCCTTGCCATCCCGGAATTTATAATTTACAAGAGAAACTAGATGGTGTGTTGACCAAAAAAAACTATTATACACTGATTAGATATTAAGTATAAATGAAAGCAAGTACTTTTAGTGTGATATTTAATTGGAAACCAAGATATTTAAAGTTCTTATTCAAGAAACAGGAAAAATAATATGGAATTCTCAAAGGAGTGAGACTGATAATATAAAAACAGAAAAATTAAAATGATTGATGCTAGGATTTCAATCAATAAATGGACTTTTTATGAGCTTAAATTTAATTCCAGTAGTACATAAAAATATTTTGGCTGTGTAGTGTAGTAGAAGGAACACTGAATTTGGGATTAGTAAGAGCTAGGATTTGATTTTTGTTATCTGTATAACTTGGAAGAGTCCTCATCTAGAAAATTGGGGGATTGAGCTGGATGCTCTCTTTCAGGGCTAACATTTACGATTCTATCTATGGCTGTACTGCAAATGAGCACAAACATTATCACACATTTCCTAGCCTTTTTGAAAAGTCTTATATTTATTTCCTAAAAGCTAGACTGGTCTTTAAATAAATCCCTTCTATTCCCACAATCTCATAGCCATTCGTCAACACGAGACACACAAAGTTAATAGGGTGAATTCAAAGATATCACTAATGCTAACTAAAATGAAAGGTAAGAATTTAAGAAAACTAATCTTCAACCTCTACAAGATTTTTCTAAAGAAGGCAAACTATGAGCACCTGCTTAGAGAACCCCAAAACAGCTTTGCAAAGATAATTTCATAAAAATATCATGATCTTTAATGAATTATATTTTAAGAAACGAAAAAGAATTCCAGAAAGGTGGATTACTCAGCATTCCAGTTGGATTCATAGTATACTGTTCTCTTTCTCATTAGGCCCAATCCTTCAGCAGTTTTCTGAAACCTTTGCTGATGCATTTCTCCCTTGCCCGCCCATAAAGACTTCTCACCTTCAAGTGCTGTTGTGAGACAGTCTAGAAAAACAACCGGCCGGTTTCTCATCACTCTCCCTCTCTTTGAGGTAGAAAGCACCTGATGGAGAGGGAAGAGCCTGAGCAACTCCTGTGCAGTGTGTCTGTGTTTGTAGAGTTCTACAGTTCACATGTTAGATTTCACTGTCAATCTCAACCACCTGCAGCCATATGAGAAAAGCAAAATCAAAGTACTGAAACAAGGATAGATGACTCCAGTGAAAACCAAAATGATGCTTTTACAAATGCTGTTAGAGTTACTACTTAGAAATATGAGAAATGGCATCCGACTGACATATTCAGTGATCAAAACTTATCACCCAAGGGGGCCGGCCTGGTGGCGCAAGCAGTTAAGTGCACACGCTCCGCTGCAGCGGCCTGGAGTTCACCAGTTCGGATCCCAGGCGTGCACCAACGCACCGCTTGGCAAGCCATGCTGTGGCGGCATCCCACATAAAGTGGAGGAAGATGGGCACAGATGTTAGCCCAGGGCCAGTCTTCCTCAGCAAAAAAAACAGGAGGATTGGCAGATGTTAGCACAGGGCTGATCTTCCTCACCAAAAAAAAAAAACAAAAAAAAACCTTATCACCCAAAGGTAAAAGAGTAAAGCTAAGTGCAACAGCACGCTTACCAAACTCCCAAGGAGTACCGAACTCTTTGAGAAGACAAGAAATCAAGGTGGTTATTTTGCACCTTTTCATGCACAATGCGATGAAAAAGTCTATGAAAACAATAATTTTGCTGGTAAGGAAAAGAAAATTCATTCCTATCATTCTAGTAATATTTTTGTTGTTAAATAGCACTTTACAGGTACAAAAATGAGAAGGAGGTGGGACTACCAATTGAAATAACAACTGGAATGTTAGAAAACATCATAAATGCATCAAAGGATCGTCTTTAGTTAAAAGCAGGAAGCAATCTCCACTATCCTCCTTGCCTCCCCACTTCCTAATCTGCTTTGCTCTGGAGGAGGAGGCTGGGGTAGCTGAAGCAGGAGAGTGGGCCTGCAGGTGAGGTTGCAGGGAAGTTGGTGAGACTCTGGGTCCTGAAAGATTTCAGTGCAAGGCATGCAGACTCCAGAGACTCGACCTGCAGTAACTGAGCCTAAGCCAACTTATAACTACTCATCTCTAGTGAATCAGGTGACTCAGGGAGGCAGAGGACGCCGATGGAGACTTAGGAAGATTATCTTCCCCGTAATAATTTCCTCACTTACTTGCTAATGTCTTGATTCTTAAAAATTTACAATTTAAGGTGAAGTAAACAAAATGAAAAAGAATTGGAGACATGCAGTTAAATAAATTAATACAGAGAGCAAATAGTTTACAAAAACAATGGGAAGCGACTGACAGCAGCTCCTTTCAGGTTCCAACGGGAGATGGGTGGAGGGAACTGGAAGGGCCTAAATGCTGGATTGGCAGAAGAGGGTCAGAGCTGTATGCAAGAGTGTTTTTGGGGGTGGTGGGAGGGTGAAGAAGGGCAAGGGCCAGGAAGAAACTGACTTTGCAGAGGTAATGACTGATGACTGTTTAGTGTCAGCTTTGTTTAGCCTCCACTAGGGAGAGACCAGGAGGAGGAATGAATGGCTGGTTAGCATCAACGTTGTTTACTCTGAACTGGGAAGGAACAAGTAAAAGGAATGAAATGGCTGCTCATTGTTAATTTGTTTACTCTCAGCTGGGAAGGGACCAATGAGATATTTGAATCAAGGTATTTATGAGTGGGTTAGTTGGAAAGGCAACTTCAGATTAGTAGACAAAAGTTTAAAAACACAGGCAACATAAAAGAACTGTATCTCAGATATTTGTTCATTGATATTTCACTACACTTAGGAGATCATCAATAAGAACTAATCTGTTGAACTACATGAACAAATAATTAGAAAACTGATTTAACATCCCATCTGCAGATTAAAGGAATGTGCTTTTCCTCATTTTTATAAAAAATTATAAAAAAATGCTTTCCTGAAATCATTTCCCTCCCCACCAGATAAAACCACTAGTGAACAGCCCTTTATCCTTGCCAGGGCAGTCAGAGTCAACGCTCTTAACTAGAAGGCACAATGAAAGTAAATCCCTCATTTATCTGAGCCTTCTGGTTTTTTTATATATACATTTGGGGATCCTAAATGAGCCCATGTCATCTTGATTGTTTTACGTAACCGATTACCCAGGCCTGTCTTGGTATTTGGTCTCCAAAGAAGTAAAATTTATTCTTTAAAGGCCCAAGGTATCATTGGGGGAGGCTTTGCTAGTTCACAGGTTCTAACACCTTCAGGATAAACTCAGTTAGGTGGGAGAATTTGGATGTTCAAATTTACAGGATTGGAGATGATGCCAAGCCCTTGGGTCATGAGATATGAGTTTCCTGAAAACTGAACCGATGAACTTAACTGGGGCTGGGCTGACATCCAGCATAACATATATTTTGAAAAGGATAGTTTAAAAAATTTTGGTTTGTTTTTGGAGTGGATTTCGCCAGTGCCCTTTAAAACAATATTTTCTCTTTCATAAAAGTTTATCCAACTATTGGTTCCTCTCCCTCTCCTCACATTTTCTCACAAGACTGCCTCCCCCACCCCACCATTTCCCACTGTCCAGGACAGGAATTTGTTTTGTTGGGTGTTCAGGAAAACACTTTATACAATTTGTGGCTATAAAGTGATCAGATTGATCCTACAAGAGGTATCTGAACTCCAGTTGAATCTTTGAGCCCCTCCTCAAATGAAAAGACATGAGGTCTTCCACAAGGGGCACGCTGGGGGATGAGACACATGCCCAGTTTACATGGGCTAACTAGAGCTACCTTTGTTTCTTTGCATCAAGGCATGTTTCTGAGGGTCTGAATTGTATGGAATGTTTAAATCTTTACAACAATAATGAGCAAATCATAATGAAAATCTAGACTATGAAAAAATTAGTAATATTAGATTAAAACAAACCTAGGGAGAAAA